AAAGTCTCCTCTCAAAACACTTTTATTTTGTCAACTTAAAATTTTTTCGTTTGGTCTTCAACTTTTTCATGAGTCAACAGTCCTTGGCATTGATAAACACCGATGGAACATTGTAATAGAAAGGTCCAACTAAGAAATAAATCCCTACAGTTTCTTTACTTTAGATCTAATCTTTACAGACATCTGATGACGTCATGGGATATATTACTTTTTATTTTAAATAGGGAAGTTAGGTCAGGCGAAATTGAGATTTTAATGAACAATATCTAGTGAAATACTGACATGACCGAAAGGAAACGTCTATCTGAATTATAAAAACATGTATATAAATTTTGGAGAAAGACTAGTTGGTGTATACGAAGTTTCTGAAAGAATTCGACATGAAATTATAATTTATACACAACATTTTCGCAGCTCTAAAATGACCTTGAAAATATCCACCTTCTAGGGTCAAATTAGGGTTATAAATTAGTGAGGTGGTTTGAAACTCAACATTGTCACGTCAACCCAAAATAGCATGAGCCGGAATAATGGTCATATTTACGTTCATATAGTCATTTAATTTGCCATATTATGATGCATTTCTTTATTAAAAACTAGATTGTGCTGTGAATATTGCCTTGTGTGTATTTTTTATTTGCCACGTCTGACTGCATCACACCAGATATTCATTGCCTGCTAGAATGATATCCTAAGCCATAGTGAGTTTATTCACATCGTCTATCTTTTTTCATTTAGGCCGTCAATGAATAATGTGACTGGGAGAAGGTTTGTTGTACTATATCGTTTGTTTTCTGTAAGTTAAGTCTTACTAGCCAACAAAGTGATACTCAAAACAAAACGTACCAATATTTCATAACACAAAACAGGCGAGCTTGTCTGAAAACTACATTAACCTGAGAAGCAATATTGAAACTCCATAAAAAAAAGCTGATTCAATGAAAATTTAAGCAGACAATTAGAGTATTACATTAGCCGTGGAATTTCAGCACAAAGAAACATTAAATATGTAGCTGCACAGAAAAACAGCGGAAAAACGCAGAATGAGGAAAACCAAACACTATTGACTACAAAGGTAGCGGATAGGATAATTCGCACTTCATTCTGATTGGTCGCTAATCAGACTGCCACAATTACAAAACCAAACTGTACTTAATTGCTGCCGATTGATGTCAGTGATTCGGGTCTACTATTTCTATTTCGCCAAATAAATGAATGGATGCCACACATAGATCCAAGGCTCGCTGTATTGAATTCGTATATCTATGTGAGTCTCGACGTATGAAGACATGTGTACTATATCATAAGTCAGGTTGAACGAAAACGCCATAGTTTGCAAGACTACTCGTGTTGGAGTTCAGATCCATATTCATTGAAGAAGTTAAAGGATCGACGAATTCTCATGGAAGTCTGAGTGCCGTCCCATAAACAAGTTGTGCTGAGGTGTATACAATGTCAGCCTTCACTGCATTGCGAATACCTAATAAGACGAGTGGAAGAGCGTCTGACCACTATGAAACGTTTACGGCTGACAGTGAAACTTTTGGTTGTCGGTGAAAGCGTACAACCATCCCGTTTGCTTATGGATGGTAGGAGTTCGTTCGAAAGCGAGTGATTCCTAATAGTGTGGTCAGACAACGGAAAAAACTGGCGTCCGCGGTCTGTAGTGATGGTTGAAGGGCAGCAAAACTTTGTTGCCCATCGTTCGATGAAGTCGTGTTCCAGTATTCCAGAAGTAATGTCCTTGGTAGGTACGGCTTCTGGCCATCGAGAGAAACGATTTAGTCAGGTTAAGAGATAAGAATATCCCTTTGAATCTGATAGAGGTCCTACCAAATCCCGATGAACATGGACGAAACGAGCATCAGGAGTTTTGAACGAACCCAAGGGACACTCGTTGTGTCTAATCATCTTAGATTTCTGGCAGCTTACACAGGGGCGTTCCCACTCCTTCACGTCTTTATTCATACCAGACCAGCAAAACCGTTCTGCTCTGAGCTTGATGGATGCACGAACGCCTGGATGAGAAAGTTGGTGCAACGTATTGAAGACATTGATTCGACAATGATTCGCCACGACTGGGCGATCCCTACCTGTAGATGTGTCACATAATAAGGTTTCCCTCCTTGTTCTCATCTGTTTGATACGCAGTTTAAGGGTTGTTGAGGATAACTGGTGCTGAAGATTAGCGTCTTCTTTTTGAAGCTCACTGAGTTTAAGAAGATCGACTCCCTGAAAATTGTTCAAGGAAGTTATACAAAACAAGGCGTCTGCGGCTACATTGTTTGCTCCAGAAATGTGTTGAATATCTGAAGTAAACTGCGAAATGTAATTCAGTTATCGAGACTATCTAGGTGAGTACTTGTCTGAAGATTAGCTTAAAGAGAAAGTACGAGGTTTCTGATTAGTAAAAAGAGTGAATTCTCGGCCTTCGATATAGTGTTGAGAATACCGTTCAGCATAATACATGGCTAGGAGTGTTGTACCTCTATTCCGTGCATTGCAACCGTCTGGAGAAAAATCTTAAAGGTTGTCAAGAGTGATTAACCCATTATTGTAAGACTCCTCCGATTGCTGTGTCGAATGCGTCTATGGCAATACTAATGGGCTCTTGAGTGTCCTGATGTGCTAGCACGGTTGTCTTGGCGATGAGTTCCTTAATTGTGGAGAATGCTTTTCGCTCGGTGTAGTCTAGATTAATTGATTTCGCATTTCCACGAAGTTGGCTGGTTGGCGGTTTCATTAGGGACGCGCATTTTGGTATGAACCGTCTATAGAAAATTACAAGACCGTTAAATGTGTGCAACTGCTTAATCGTGGCCGGTTCTGGGTAATCCAGAATGACTGCCACTTTGCTCTTAAGAGGTCGGGTGCCTTGAGCATCAATAGTGTGTCCTAGGAAATCTAAGGAGTTTGTTCCGATTTGGCATTTCTGAATGTTTACAATAATGCCATGCATTTGGAGTCGTTCGAACACAATGTCTAGATTCTGGAGACGGGATTCTCCGTCCGGACTTGCTATTAAACGGCCATCAACATACGTATGTACGACGTTGAGACCTCGAACATCTTCATTGATGAACCTTTGGAAGGTTTGGGCAGCATTTCTTAGGCCGAAAGGCACTCGCAAAAATTCGTAGAGTCTAAAGGGGGTGATGATAGTGGTTTTTGGAATGCCGTCAGTAGCCATAGGGATTTGGACATTAATCAAATCAATTTTCGAAAAGACAGTTGTACCTTTCAAATCGTGAATATGAAGTAACGGATAACGATCGAGAATGGCTTTTGCGTTCAAACGATGACAGTCACCAGTTGGACGCCAATCGTTGCTGTCCTTCTTAGGGACCATGTGCAAGGGAGGTGACCATGGGCTAATTGACGGTCGAATTGTTCCTTAGTCTATCGTGTGGTCGAATTCGTTTTTAGCCAACCTAAGCTTTTCGGGAGCCAGTCAGCGTGCTTTCGAGAATACAGTTGGTCCAGTAGTCGAGATGTGATGTGTAATATTGCTGGTTACACACGGCAATTTCGGTTGCAGTTGATATATCCTAGAGTACCTATCCAGTAACGGTTGATATAATGGGTCTATTGTGTGCCTAATTGTGACAGATAATCTGTAACCGGAAAAAGAAGTTACACGGACAGATAAATTACTGTTTCCGTCCACTAGCCTCTGTTCGCGCGAACCGATGAGTAGATTGTGGTATTGTAACAGGTCCATAACAATGATTGGCTTAGGAACATCTACAACAACGAAGATCTAGTGAATGCGCGTGCGTAAACCCAAGTTAAGGTTAACGTACCTTTTACCATATGTGGCAATCGGCTTTCTATTTTTCGCCTATGAGTTTAAAACAGACTCGTGAAGCCGGTCGTTAGAACTTGCAGGAAGAATGCTAACTTCCGCGCCAGTATTGACGAGGTAGCGAACTTTCATTATCACATCTGTGACGTATAATAGACGGCCATGTTCGCCGGCTACGGTTGCCGTTAGTGCGTGTCGGCTGGGAAGTTTCCAGAGTTGTTTTTGGTGTCGGTCGATTTGGAGTTTGGATAATTACATGGTTTTCTGCAATTTCTGGGAGACTTTCCATACTGGTTGTGATACCAGCAACAAACGGGATTATCCATCTCTCGCTGTCTAGAGACAGATCGCCTACGTGAAGTGAGTCTTCACGTGGTATGTGACCGTTTACGGTCATCACGAAATCTAAGGGTAATAACTGAAACGATAGTGGTGCAAGAGTCTTAGGAATCTGTTCTGTCATTTCCAATTGAACGTATAAAGATGAAAAAAGGGGAAAATACTCGAAATCTGAAAAAATATCACAACATATAAAAATCAAAATAAAGCAATGATTTATGAAATTCCAAAAAGGAATAGACTCACAGTTTATGGGTTGGTGTACAAGATCACGTCAAGCTCACCAATGAAGATACCATAGGTATTGTAGTTTGACAATACTTTACCAGCAACACCTTCAATAATTGAACCGTACCCACCCAGTGAAATCAAAAGTCAGAAGCAAGGAGATTCGAAGATACATTTGATAGTTTATCAATATATCGAGTAGTGACTGATCTAAACTCTCTAGTGATCGCGGGACGAATTGAGCACGGCATTCTCATTCGTGATCTAGTGCGGATGCATGCCCGGGCGTTTTCAGGTAGGTGATTCTATTAAAACGAATGTGGTCAGCATTCAATGTCTATCACTTACAGAGCTATTGATTTTGGGGATTTATTCAACACTACACTGTATTAATTTATCCTCAGAGTATCTGTTGACAACTCGTAAAACTTTTCAAGAATATGTAGTTCATTCTGTAATTATGATTTTTATCGCTTAGAATTTTTTGGCTGGAACGATAAACATGAAATTTTATATCTCTCGAATTTTTCGGTCATGTTCTTTGTTTTAGTTCACTTGCAAATCGAGCGCTGGACTCTGTGGTATCGCGTCGTGATTGTGTTGTAAACACCTGGTTTGAAGCTCAGATATGGTTTCTGTAATTGAAAGCAACGCCAGCCCAGATTCTGCATTTACAGTTGTACGAATGGAGCCATCAGACATTTTGAGTCTGGCTGGTCAGTTTGTTGTGCAATATTACACCGTCATGAAAAAGTGTCCATCTGGAATTCATCGTTTCTATAAGGATGATTCCTCTATGATACGCGAGGATACCCCAGTATGTGGTCAAAGAATGATTCACGAAAAAATTATGAGTATGAATCTCCAGGACTCACAAATTGCTATCCTGAAGTTAGACGCATTACGTGCCAATGGGAATAGCGTACTGATTCATGTGAGTTTTCAAAACTCTCTTATTTTAATCAGGTCGCTGGTGAAATAAGTATAGCCAATGAAGAGTTCAGACGGTTCACCCAGTGCTTTATCTTGAGGGAACAAGCCCCATGCGACTTCTATGTATTAAATGACATATTTCGATATCAAGATTACGTTTACGGTGATTTGAAAACTAATGCGGAGACTAATGGTAAGATCATTTTATCTTATAGCTTCTGCTTCAGATGATCACTTGGCAAAGGTAAATGAATATAGTCCATCTGAGAATGTATCACATTGCTCGATGCCTCATTCGGCAAGAGACGTAAGTATGTTAGTCGTTCAGTTTACATTGGTTTTATCTAGGATCATTCTCATAGTTGGGAGGGTGTATCTGAAGGAAACTACAAACAGACCATCGATGAAGTTCAAACATGCAATCCGGAGGTTAAACAAGACCAGTTAACTGTGGATCACACAGTACCGCGTTCTTCTGCTTCACCATCTCTTCAGCAGGAACTTGTAAACCAGTCTCATACCATCAGTTCTCCAACGAATACAGCTGTTAAGTCTGGGCCTCCAAGTTGGGCACAAATGGCATCTAGGCAACCTCATCAAGGTGTCTCAAATACACAGGCACCCAAAGGTTTAAGGAATAACGCCAACGTTTCGGAGTATGAGACATCGAACGAACGTCATAGGGCGGGCTTGCGACCGCCTGTTGATGGTACTCAAAGGTATGTTTAATTTTAGAGGATTTACCGTTATTGTTAATCATACAATGCCAGAGCAGTCAAGAGACACTTGTCAAAGATGCTTGTCCCCATTGTGTTGAGAACATTCCCGTTTTCTTGTTTTATAGGAATATGTGTGTCTGTTGACGGCGTAAATTCCTCATTGATTAGGTCTTTTTCTGTGGTGATTTCAAAGGAAAATAAACTACCAAAAGCTGTAAGTATTAGATCACATTTCACTCGTTTCACCACATTACTTGACCCGTGTCCCAGCCTCCTCACTTTGCGTTTGTTTAACATCTGCCCATAACTTGTCGTTGTAGCTGTCCGTACACGTTTCATGTTACTGAGATATCAGTTATACACCACTGTTTTTGCGTCTAAAGTCCAAGTTAATTTACAGCGTTTTGTATGTGTAATTCGAGGCTCCTGATGACTCATTTAATTTGCTAGGGAAAGTACTTCATTATGGTTCCCACCCAACTTATTGACTCAGAAACCCCAAGGTATTTTTTGATGCTTATAGGGTGAATACTGGTCAGTTCGGTTGTTCAGATATCAGCCTTTTCTTCATACAAATATTCCAAAGAACTTTACTGTCTCTAGATTCATTCGCGAATAGCAGTTTTCGTCAAGTTTGGGTGGAGTTCGTAGTTGTGTCCATTACTTACGCATTTTGTATGGATTGTGACATGCCTCTTGTTTGCTTTTTTAGACTTGGCAGTGCATAACGATCAAAGAATCACCTGGGTTTCCTCTAGGTCATGAATTTATAATTTCTCTGTCAACAAGTGCATAAACACCTTCACACGTTTTCTAAGTCGACAAATATTTGGATTCCCTGATGTAAATATTTTGCATGCTCAGTTTTAATTGTTACAAGTATAGATAGGAAAAAACTAAGGTGTGGGTAGATGAAGATATGGCCTCAACCCATTAAGGCATTGACTATTTAACTAAACTGTCTTACAGTTGAACTACTGGATCGGAATCGTACAATAACCCTAATGCGTGTTTAATAATGGTTGGTTCAGGATCGGTCTCAGTGGAGCAAATCCACCCTTCCCTATGCGTCAAGCCTCACTTTTATCCCTTATTTCCATTCTTATTAAAAATACTCGTTTGTTTTACGGATATAATATTGCGTTCTTAAGTATTTAGTTATTAATGGGCTTATGGTTAGTATCGCTACGACTGCGTCCTTTTTGTGAGTACCAAATTGTTAACAGTAAAAAGATAAATTTACAGCGACCAACGTGAAATCGGTGTACTGTCTCATGTTAAACGTTATTATAAATGGTTCAAATGGTTGAGGATGAAATAGAAAAAGCTTTCGCTTAACGGGCTTCGGTGTCTAGTAGCAGTTGATCACCAATACCTCCAGGCAAGTACCTAGTTATATTAACGATAATAGAGGAAAAGAAGAATTTGGTAAATCAAAATAATATGTTATCCTTAGTCCTTAAGAATGGGATGACCAGAAATATTGAGGATACTGTAAGTCATAATAAGATCATCTCTAAGACATCTGTACTCTAACGGGTAAAGGCTAAGTGATTGGAGGCGCTCTTCATAAGGTTTGAATTTGAGTCCCCGAACTGATTTCGTGGCTCGACGTTGGATACGTTCCAGAGTGTCCTTATCCTTTTAGAGGTAGGGAAGAAATACTATGTTTCCGTACTTTAAATGGGGACGAATAAAACTGTTGAAGATTATGTAAAAGGTTCTACCGTCAAACTGGCCAAAATGCGCTGCAATGTTACCAGTGCAAGGTTTGCTTGAAAGGCGTTTTTATCACAGCATACGACTTCAGGTCGTAGGGTACCAACACTCCTAAATCTTTTTCGACTTGGGAAACATCTAGAGAAGAGTTTCCTAAGTTGTAACTATAGTCTGCAACATGTCTCAGATGGACTACTTTGCACTTTGGCGTATTGAAGGTAAGTTCGTTGTCGTCTGCCCAACTTTGAAGTCGAGTCAGATCCTCCTGAAGTGCTAGTATATCTTTATGGTTACGTATCTCTCTCCAAAGTTTCACATCACCATCAAAAAGCAATAAGTCAGGTGAAACTTGTTGAGAAAAATCGTTAATGTAGATCAAGAAGAGAAGAGGTCCTGGTATTGAGCCCCGGAGGACCCCACCATGACATTCCATAGCCTGAGAGAGAGTGAAGTTAACCGTGACCTTAAAATGTCGGTTTTCTAGATATGAAGTGAGCCAGTCAATTAGAGAGGGTTTGATACTCAATCGTCTAAGCTTATTGATGAGACATACGTGGTTGACCCTATCAAAAGCTTTTGAGAAATCCAGGTAAATGACGTCAACCTTCCCCTTGCGATCAAGGATGGTTGTCCATCTATCCACTGCAGTCAGCAGGTTGGTCATACAAAAATGACCCTTTCTGAAACCGTGCTTTTGGGGTGAGAAGAACCTTAAGGATATAAGGATTCTTGTATACCGTCGTATATTATAGATTACATAATTTTAGTAGGTATGAAAAGAAGGGCTAATGGTCGGTAGCTTAAGGATTCCCTGCGTCAACCTTCTTTGAAAATTGGTGTGATGTGAGCCAGCTTCCAATTTTCCGGCAGTTTGCCTCGACTTAGAGAGTGTGAAAACATCACGCTAAGTGGTGTTGCCAGGATTGAAGCTTCTTCCTTCAATGTAGCAGAATGAACCATGTCTGGACCGGAAACAGTATCTTTTCTTATGTGTTGCAGTTTACGGAGCACCAGGTCAGCACTCGGGACCACTTCGGAAAGTCCTGTACATGTGCAGGTGAAGCTCTTGTCAGTATAGTTGATGTGGATCGGCTGGAATGTCTGTGTTGTTCAGCCAAAAGATTAGCGGCATCACCGTCGTTATTGTTCGGACCATTAGGACCTAGCAATTGGGAAACACCAGTTTCGGCTTGTCAATGGGATATCATAACTCAGTTTTGCTGACAAAACTAAAGGATAGGACGCCGTGATCACTTCCCCAGATGAGCCAGGATTAGGAGGTCGTCGATAAAAAAGTCTTCATTTGTTGTGAATACCCAGTCTAAGCGCTATGGCGCCTGACTGTTTCTTCAACGAGCTGTCGACTTCACATTTTCGAATAGTCTCAAATCATCGATGAGGTTGAAGAACCGAGCTTCAGTAGAGTTGTCACCTTCAATGTAGGTATGTTCCACGAAGTTATAGGTCTTAAACATAGTAAAATATATAAACCCCAGCTGTATTTACCAAATATAATGTCACATTAACATACCATAAAAATTTGTTAAAGTTATCCTACTTCACTTGACAGATCGTAAAAATTGATATTACTTTTCTAATAAAATTATATTTAGTCAGAATTTCCATAAAATATCTACATACCTTAGTTAAATTGACAATTTACATTAAAACGAGTGAAGTTAGGTGTTGTGTTATTTAAATTAGTCACTTTGTTTCGTCATATCCATCATCAATTAAACGTATATATCAGATGATAAATAAGCCAGTCAGTCATAACACAAAACTTGACCAAAGTTGTTTCACCACAGTACATTGAAGTAACAATAACTAGATGCATAATAAATGAGTAGAAATAGTAATAGTAAAGGATATATTTCAGAAAATGTGTGCTTAGGCAGCTGTTAAAGCTTGACGTTTATCGAAGACCGAGAGTGGATACGCATGCAGAGTTATATAGTTACTGATGTACCAGGGTGAAAGTAACCATCACAGTAAATGATGCAGTCAACCTATTCAACTACTTCATTCTCTGAAGTCAGTCTATGCGTTCATACGAACCATTAATCCGTGGTTACAACAGGAATCAAATAAACGAAGTCAAAAGGCAATTTATTAACAACCTAGTATTTGCTCTTACACGATTAAAAAGAAACTAAGACGTGCAAGTAACTCATGATAAACAAGCGTTTTTGTATTTGAAGGTAGTTACGGAAAGAAGTGAGAATGTCAGTGTTATCATGGTAGCAAGAAATTTGAATCTTTTTGGTTGAGTGCTAAGGCTTCATTAGTAAGTCATGATCAGCATATGATCTCCATTTAGGTCTTTCAGAAACTACATTTTTGGTAAGACGCAGTAAATTTGTGCTTCTCTGCTTGTTATTTCATTCAAACTAACTTGAGCATCATTGAAGCTTTTATCAATGAAGTAGCACGTATCCGTGCTGCAGAAAATATTCCTCACTCGGTTGTGGTATGTGTTGGGTTAAAAGTTTGAATCTGGCATCTTGATATTAATGATAGACGCACTGAACCGTTGGTTTTCATAAGTTGTGGTTGAAAACTCAACTAACCAGGTATGTTTTAAGAACGAAAAATCTACCAAAATACTCTAAACGACTTTCATTATTTTTAGGGTTCGTAGTATGGGGCCACGTCAGCAAGGTGAATCACGAGGGATTTCAGAAGTGAATTACACACAAGACGTAAGTACATATGCTAATAATACCTGACATTTTTTATTTGATTCTGTTCAGAAATAATGATATTTCTAAATTCACTTTATCGCTTTCACTGGAGCTTACCATCATAAATGTTTTTGTAGTAGAGTCATTACTTTCACCAAATCCTGACACTAAGATTATCAGTTCAGGAGCGTTTGAGTGCCATGTCATTAGTACATGTATATTCACGTTATTCTGGATACGTCTAATAATGCGATTCAGGCCTAATTACAATGTAGTACCAGTAATTTAGATTGCTGTTTTGATTCATCCACTCTCTAGTTCACTACTAAGTGTGCGTTCAAAATTTTCTCCTTGTTCTTTTAGCCTACACCGCTAATTATTCATGGTTTATATTGTTTGTGGCCTTATAACAAGAAAGCTTGTTAACGTTTTCCGCTAGCGTTCCGTAAATTGAGTAAAAACTTAGGTTCCAAAAAAAAGTCCCGTTGAAAGACTGCTGTTATTGATTCTTAATAATGTGTGTCACGATCGAATTATAATCAGTTACTTTCGTAATAATTTTTCCATACACATCATAACTGGTTTTCAAGCTATGCGTTTATTTCATTAATTTGATGTCATATGGATTATTTGTGTATTTATTTATTGAAATACATAAATATTGGTACAAAGGAGCACCAGATACATATGCGCCACATAAATCTCATTTGATTTGTGTGAGGGCTGTGATACTGCTCGGGTGCCCAAACCGAAGCAGGTAGCATTTTTGGGGGGCCACACCGAGCCTTCGACCTAAAGGTCTAGTCCACAAGGCAGTGGAGCATCGTGAGGAGATGCAGTCCCATGGTAGTTGGTGACCAACGATAGGTTCATACGCCATTTGTTCCTTTAAGATATTGGAGCCCCTGTTCACCATTGGTTTGGAATCAGGGTTTTTCAACTCCCCTAGGTGCACTTTTCGTGTCCACCAACCCGGTTGAAGCGCCGGACATTCGCTTTTCTTCCTCTCAATTTCGTTAACAACACCTGCTTCGAGAAGGCAGTGAGTAGGTCTTCCTTGTCAGAGGTTATATACGCATGGCCATGTGAGAGCATTTGGAGAGGGAGAGCGTACTCTCCCCACTTTCGACCTTACCAGGGCATTTGGTGGCACATGTGGATAGGTTGTGTAAATGCGCTTGTTTTGCCCCACTATTTATATAACAGTAGATCGTATTGGTTAATGTGTTTCATTTCGTCATCAGTGGTAGAACTGAACTCACTTTTTTAGACTGATGTAGTAGCAACACATTTCAGTTATTATGGTAAAGTTTCTGAACTACTATTTTTTTTTAATCAACTTTTTATAAGATTGGTGAAGTCTACCTATCTTATTCTCGTTTTAATACAGAACCGCGTTACTTCTCGAGGAAATGCACCTAGAGGTTCAGGCTTTGGTGGGTCTTCTCGTGGTGGTGGCCGAGGTGGACGTGGTGGGTTGGGAAATGGATCTATGGGTGGAAGAGGTTCTGGAGCAGTCAATCCACGTAGAACAAGTTAATACAAATAATTAAATTATCCTCTTACTTGGACGACACAAATACTACAGATACCTTCACACATTTGTTTACCATATATACTTGTCTCAGCCACCAATATATGTTCTCAAATACACTTAGGAGTCAAACCGTCTGATCACTTACAATTTGTCTGCTTTCCGGTTTTGAATTTTTTAGTTAATTTGCCTTCGTGTTTTTCAATATGGCTATTCTCTCACAGGTTCTCGTAAATACATGAGATTGTAAAGTACCCCAATTGTTTTTCTCTTGAGTTTTTTATAACTAACACCGTAGGAAATATTTTTTGTATTAGTTTGAATTACGAACTAGTCATGCATTCGTTACGTGTTATGCTGCCTGATAAAACCACATCCATATGGTGTCATTCTGTAAGTTCTTATAGAAGACCTTTAGGTACATTTGAATACTTGCTGATACTTTGATGCATTTGGAAATAGATATTTTTACAACAATAGCACACCTTATTAATGATCTCATTTGTAATTTGAATGAAGTAACTCCAGTTTTAAAACTACTGTTTCTGCTCGTTTAAAATCTTTTATGTACTCAGACATTGACAACTTTGCCATAATTGAAGACAACTGTATGTATTCGGTTAATGTTCATCTGGAAATGACAGTTTTACAAATTAACAACCGACACAGTGTAGACGAAAATAATCGATAATAAGCATGTTAAAATTAGGCAGTACGACTAGGCGGTTGTGCACAGACCTATGTGTAGTACAATACTACATACCAGGTCAACAAGTAAAGGAAAGATAACCTGTTCAATGACGAATCAAATTGTTAACTGTCTGGATGATGTAGTTTGGCTTGTTCACCCCATTGTACAAGCTAGTGGCTACTGAGATTTAGTAGCTACGTGGGTAATGCGATGGCGTTTGGAGCGAACGCTACCGGGTTCGAATCCCGGAGTAAACATCAACTTTGGGATGCAGGTTCGTCCTGCTAAGCAGTCCCAAATAGGACTGGACGTGCCTCCTGGATTTTTCACTGCTTGTTATGTTTGTGACTGAAGGGAATATCGGAAGAGGCTACCCACATATTTGCCAATAAGAGACTGGTCAATTGCAGTTCTAAACATCAATGGGAAGATACAAACAAATTATATAGTTTAGTTACTTAATAGTTATACAACAAGTACATATATATATATCTTTCTGGAAGCAGTTTTCATTATGGCCTGCTGTCAACTGGGGAGTCATTATAAACAAACATTCACTAGACAGGACTAAGATTGTAAGCAATGTTCCTTAGGTATGTAACACTCAAAACCTCTAGTAATTTCTCCGTCCACTTGGTTTACCACAGCTCGACATCCCAGATGAGAAGCACAAATATAGTTGGTGAGATTTTTTTTAATGACACTCAGGCAATGCCTATTCGCAAGAAGGCTGGGGAATAAATTCCCAGATACGAAACACTCAGTGATTGTTAAATACATGGCGGCTAATCTCAGACCTAAACGGCTGTTTCGACTTTTCAGCAAACGATACTCATACGGTCAAATCAAAGATATATAGGTCTGGAGATAGTACATTTAGATCACTGAGTCATAATCCAGTTGTCTACAAAGTTATTCTAAATGAATTTGTGAGATTGCGTGACAATGACCCAGTATAACTAGATGTATTTAATTTCATTTTGCTTCATTGATACACATGATTTTCAGTGTGCATTTAACTAAAGTGAACTGACTGATTTTATCTAATGAGCCGCTGCGAACTTTTCGGAGAACCATTTCAAAACAAAATAATCTGAACTATTCTCAAAATGAAGAAAACTACCTATATAGATACAGGGTTTTGGACTTATTCCCAGATATTTTATTGGTGACAGTTTGGTTAGAACTTTTATAAGAAGTGTCATATTCATTATTTTGTTCAAATCACATTAGAATTTCCAATGAATGATCGGAGTTATGATGGTATTCTTCAGATTTATTTTTACAAGGTATTTTCTGTTGTACTATACCAGATTAATGTTTTCAAAAATAAGAATGCTGTATTGTTGTCCAATTTCTAGGCATTGAGATATGATCGTATTTCGTCATGTGGCAGTTTTGAATAAACCTAGTGGTAGTACGACAGTCTCAATTATTGGATGCTTGAGCCAAGATTAGTTCTAAACATCATGATTAATCCATCTACAGCGCTAGTGGCAAGATTGAAAAGTTCTCGTATAGATTTTACATTAGCGCTAATACGTTTACTCTATGTTCTCTAGGTGTTTTAATTCGTGTTCTGATTTGAGACCAGTAATACATAATATCATATTAATTGGTAATAACATTTATAAACGCCGACCAACGGACTTATTTTATTTACTAACTCGTAAATTTACATTCTGTATTTTATAGTAAATGTATGTGACTCTAACTAGACTATTTTACTTTTGGTTATCATCAACTTGAAGTGAAAACCAACTAGGTAAAGATTTACCGCAAAGCATATTGTTGAGCTAATCTTTAAGTGGTGACCGATATCATGTTCATCTAGTCTCTTTGGTGCTGATTGGATTCGATCGAGCGAGTTACAATGCAGTCACTAGTATGACTGGACATCGCGTGCAGCATGTTAAGGATGTAAGGTGGTTGAAGATTATAACAGATTGAAACAGTTCACAAACTATAGTGTTAAATAAGAATTAAAGTGTAAAATAATTGATTGGTTAATATTTTGATGCATAAAAATAATTGTTAGGTGATTGGCAGTAATCGGGAGGATACCATGAACATAGAGGTTTTGTGCTATTTGGCACTTCGTGGCAAGGTTACAGGTATACGTATATAAAAGTAGTGTATAACTTATACCACATGTACTCACATATTCGAAATTCTTACATAATTTATTGCAATAGATTTTATTCAAGATTGTTGATTTGCATTCTTTCAATTATTATTATTTTAAATTTAGGCACAAAATTGATGAATAGTTTATAATATTGCATCAGTAGAAAAGAACTCTTAACAATATTACATGAAGTGATCGGATGCTTAGTAGTTTCTAGTTTTTAATTCATCTTCTTTTAAAAAATTAAACATTCTACACATAATTGAATTATTTCATCCAAATGACTGTAATGTACTAAGATAGTGTCAATCTATACACACACATACATTAGTTATCCGAAGAGAGATGTAAACACAAAGGAAATAAACACTGGACAAATCGTCAATGGGGGGTAAATAAAGGAAATCAAAAAAGAATTTGTATGTGAAACGGTGAAACAAAAGAATACAGACAACGAGGAGACGGAAGAAAGAACTAAGAGTATTAAAACTTTGGATAGTGGATATTATTCATAAGTATTGATGTTTGTCAATCACAGAAGATAAGAAAACTACATTAAGAGAAAACAAGACAAACCAATGAAAATCATGAGTAGTGATAATATTAATAATAATATGTGTCAACAAAAAAATCATCCTGATATTGGTTGAAATATCGAAGACCAAACAAAATATACACATTTTAATATCTAAAAGACCACACGTATATATAAATAGGATAATCGAAACAACAAAACTACATGTAAACAAACAATCAAGCATATATGGTAAACACATTAGATCACAGTTAGCTAGGAATCGTTGATAGGCAAATCATATATAAATGAATATAAAAGGACAATCAAAATAGGAATAATGATACATATATATTCGTGTAATAAGTTATCGTCGCCACAAATAATATTGTATATCAAAATAAGACAAACAACATCAATACAGAGAATAGTGAAATTAAGAAAATCCAAATCACAACAAAGGAGTATTAACAATCGAATGAACGGATTGTAGGATAAGCTTAGGAAAAATCAATACAAGAGAAAGAAGAGGTGAATGATACACTATTACATGTATAGATACATTATGTCATAGATCGAATTTAATCTGTTTGACTAGATTTGTTAAATGTGCAACACATGAATGCACCGCATCCTCCTTGGTAGATCGAATATCGATTCGTATTGTTCCAGTAGTAAACTGTGCACAGTGAGAGACATAACAAGAATTAATATGTTGGATTGATTAAAGTTATAAGTATACGCATCTATATTTTCAGGCCAAAAAACTCTGAAGTAATTTATGTGCTGAATAGTTAAAAGTAAAGTTGACAGAGATAAACTATGCTGACAGCCTGAAGCGATTCTAGAAGTTACATGAAACGTAAAATTTTAATATGATTTTACCAAGAAGCGCCGTTCCTAACAGACTTCTTTGCCCAATAGTATAGTGGGCCATACAACAATCTCGTCTCTGGACCTCAGCCAATCACTGGATATCTTTAGCTAGCCACAGTTACATAAGATGCTGTTTTTCAACAGTCCAAGGTCCTGTAAGTGATCAACAACCATCGAAATGAGCCGAAATACGAAATCTAGTCAAAAGTAGGATTCCTGGCAGTAGATTATTCTTAAGTGCATTCTGATTGGCCTCTTTATTCATTTTAAGGCTGTCTATATAGCTTGGTTCTATTATATAATTAAATGACAAATCAATCAAATCCAGATAGAGACTCAGAGGTTTTGCGCTAAATTCAAAACACAACGACGGGTGATTAGTACTTTCTTGAGACCTATGCAAGAATTTAGTAAAACCTAACTGTTTGGTTACTGAAATCAAGATGTGGAGACCATAGAAGTGTCCACTACTTCGAAGTTCTAAAAGTTTTTAATATTTAAAACTGTATATATCGATATATACAACCATCGATATCACTACAATAAATATTTCCATCCCATTTTTAACCATTACGTTTACATATATATACGACTGTACACTACTTGGAAAATAAACTTGCTGAGAAAAATCTCTTTTTTGATTAGATCGCTTCATGATGTATGGGATTATATTTGAACTGAAAATACAATCGCTTCAACAAACAGAAATCAAAGAGAAATGTTGACATGTAATGGTGATTGAAAAATGGAAACGTAGACTGAAGAAAGTTTCCTAGTGAGCAGACCAAAACAATGAG